ACTGAGGTTGCCACCTCTGCATCTGCATTCCATGAGCTCATTGAAGCAGTCGGTGCACCAAGAACAGAACCTATTCCACAGCTTAGGAGCCTTCACTTGCCCAAGTCTGGGTATTTACATCCTCCCATTCCTGCCACCTTCAAGTCAGCAGCTGCCAACGGACAGAAAATTGCAGTGTGGAGAGAAGCAAAGGCAAAACCCAAAAGCATTAAACAGATTATTTTGACACATAAGCTTCTAGAACAGGGAGGGATACAAAATTCCTGACATTCTCAGCTGGCAGAGAGCAAATGGGAAAAATGTTATGCATGAAAACCACTATCAGATATCATTTAGCATTTTAAAACCCTGAATATTTTTCCCTACACGATTGAAGGCTGAGATGCCAGTTCTCGGGATTTGCAAGCTGAATAAATCAGGAAAGATCTGTCTGTCTCTGACCTGCAGGTATTTTTTGCTAGTTAATTTGGAGATGTATACATACACATATACATATAAATGAGCCATTTTACTCCAATATCTAAGAATTCTTCAAGTGAAGAAAGAATAATTTCAACATTTTAGGATAATCTTTTAAAGATATTTTAAATAAGCAGAAAACAGACTTCTGCAACATCATAAAACTGACCACTGCTTAGCCCTTCTGAAATTTACAGTCATTAAACAAAGGATGAAAAGGACACTACATCAAAATCACAACTCGCTGTCAAGCTACAAGTTTGCTGAAGCTTAAGAAAAAACCCTTTACATGCATCCCTTCAATGGTTTACCATGCTTTACACTCACTCTAAAACTAATAAAAATAACATATTCATTTACTATCTCTAATGCCACTTGTGCTCTTACATACCACCTAATCACCTGTTGACATTTGCAGCACCCAAGCAGTAGCTGAATGCAGGGAGGTCCTCACACCACATACAATGAACCACCTCCACTCTGACTGAAACGTGGGCTTCCATCAGAGTCATCTTTATAACACTAAAGAGCAAAATTCAGGCAGCATCTTGACTGCAGAAATAATTCAAGTAATTGATAGATGGTGTTGTGACACTGTCGCTGAATCACAAGGACAACTACTGTCACTCAGAAAGGGGGGAGCTGGAGCCATGTCATCAGTCAGCCTTTTCCTGGAAGTGGAGCAGATTAAAAAAAAAAAAACCACAAAACAACAACATCACAACACAGGTTAATTCCTATTGAGGCTTCAATTGGGCTCAAGTAATTGAGGCTTCTTTTATTAAACAAAATTAAAAATCCCAGAGTTCAACACAGTAAATTTAAAAAGAACAGAGATAAATTTTCCTGCCCTAGAAACATGGCCCTCAGGCTCCCTAACTATTTGCTACAATATTCCTCAGCTGGTAAAATGGAAAGCTGGCACCCACCCAAGGTATTCAGACAAAGCATTGTAATTAGAAGCTACTTAGGGCACCATGAACCAAAATATATGCTAATAAAAACATCATTAACTAACTTGTGAGGAGACTCTTCTTAGGGGAGGGAATCTTTGCTAACAATAACATAATTGTCAGGCTTTAAGTCGTGAAGTCTGTGGCAACAATTCAAAGCTAATGGGGAAAATATGAGGGGGGGGAAGTGACATTTGGAAAACAGTGGGGTGGAGGGAAAGTGACTGAAGAAGAAAATAGAGTTTGTTGGATAGCATACCAACACAAAACAAGCGGGTCCACGGAGACCAGTACTTAGGCACAGAAGATAGGGGGATTTTGTTAAGTGTGCTGCCAGTTTGTTTCTTCCTAGTCAAAAAAAAGGGAAAGAAAAACACAAGATAAAAGGATTCAGAAGCTCTCTCTTTTTGTAATCAAGTACAATGTGAATTTTTCACCATGAGCCACATCTCCAGGGTCCTCTCCTAAAGCAGCACACTGAGCATTCACCCTGACGAAGGCTATGATAGAAACACTTTTAATCTCCATTTTCTGCTGCATTACTGTCATTCTGCAGCATTGACATTTGTTTGTTATTCCCCAAAAAAGGCAATTCTGGTTCCTTCTCTACTCTGCCTACAATTCTGAGTTTCTTGACTCAAAAGAAACAAAATACTCTATCTATTATCTTAGATATGAATCAGAAGTTACATGTTCTCCATGACCAACCTCCAATTGGCTGGCTGGTGTACTAAGGTTCTTCAACTCACTCAGGTGTTCCCACAAGCTTTTAAACCCAACAGTGACCAGTATTTGCAAAGGCTCACAACATTACAAGTGGCTATCCAAAAACTGATTTAAAGCCTCAAGGGGGTGCTGAGTGCTTTCAGCTGGCTCCTGTCCCAGCACCCAGGACACTACTCCTTTTCAGAAGCAACCACATGAATTTCCACTTTCTCCCAGCTGACTGAAGGAATGTGTCCAGGAGGCACATTGGTTCTCACAGAGCGTTGCTCAAATAAGGGTTTGCGAACACAATATTTAAGAGTGGTTTCTCTACACTGTCCAAGATGGCAGTTTCCCAATGAAACTCATGAACAAGGAAGAGAAAGCTCATTAAAAAGGACAAACTCATGAACGAGGATCACCGAAGTGCCACTACTGCTGTTTCCACCTGCCCACTCTACCATGGTTGAGGTTTGAGCTTAACTTTCATGGCCACAGTAAGGCTTCAGGTAAATCTCACCCAGGGCTCTTCTGCTGTGAAGGCTCCACATCAGCACATAGATACAGCAACAGCTGGCACAGCTGGAGAAGTACAGAGTGCCCCAACTCCAGAATAAGCACAAGCCCTGTGCTTGGCCTTGTATTTAGGAGAATGAAGCCAAAGAAAGGCAATGTTGAAAGAGCAGGAAGTCCTAAACATTGCTATCAGCAGTACAGACAATGGGGCACTGACAAAACTTCCAGACTTCAGCAGTGGAACAGAAAGCCTCAACAAAAATTGCAAAGAACAAGGGAAGGACTACTCTCGAAGCAGAAATAGCACTCAGAAGACATTTATTAGTACACTGTGAAAAACAGCAATAGGCCCAGAGGGTGGGGTAGACTGGAAGCTTTGGGTCACCACTGTTGTTCAGAGTATAATGAGAAAGAAATTAACAGGGGGATAACATTTGTTATTGAATAGCAAGCAGATCAGAAGAAGCAACAAAAAACAAAGTAACCAAAATCCCTGATTAAAGTGAGTAAGGTATTGAGAAACATCACATGTTTAGCTGTAAAATGGGAATGTTCTAGGACACAGAACAACATGGACCAGCATGGACCTCACCTTGGGAAACCTGTCGGCCCCTGCAGCTAGCACTTGACACCAATCAACTCTGTTTACTGTATCACCTCAGTTTCCTAGTCCTAGTGAAGGACTGGGAATACAGTGTGCAAACACAGAAGAAAAAGATAGTCCCTGGCCTAATTCATGAAAACCCATAACGTGACTTATCTGTAATAGATTCTAAGCAATATAATGTTTATGGTGCTCAGTGCTCACCATTGACTGACACACAAAAAAAGCAAAGCATATATTTGAAAAATGATGAGCTAAAAGAAAAAACTGAGAGGAAACATAAGGGTCTAGATGGGAAGGATGGACTTTGTGTCCAAGAGTCAGAGCTCAGTCACAGATTTCCTGCCTCAAATGAGACATCACTTATTTCAGTAAACAAGACTTTATTACTATTCATTTTCTTCAAAAAAAGCTTTGTGAGTCTTAAGACTATGCAGGAAAACTGAGTAATACTTTTATCTAAATTTCAAGAACTGAGTTTTGTGTGCTAAAGAGCTAAAAGAAAAAGCAAAAGCAAGGAGAGCAGGAAGGGAAGAGAGAGAGGGAAAAAGCAAGAAAGCTGAAACCATGGGAAAGAAAACTGAACCTTTGCTACCTCTTGCAATAATTAGCCAGTTATCAGATTCAGACCATGCAGAAATGCAACAAATAAAATCCAAGGGAAAGAATTATGCTATACTTCAAATATGTTTTTCAAGGTCCATTTTCCCATCATAAATAACATACTGAATTGCTGTGAGCCAACAGATTTCATCACAGTCACTTTACATCATGCTGCACATTGTAAATAAAAACACAAGCATTTCCTGCACTTAACAGCAAAACTCTTCTTTGCTTGCAATTCACATAAAAGGTATGAAGAACACAATGGGATGTATCAGGACTGACATTCCAGCCTGTATAAGCATCTCATTTTATCCCAACCTAATGTGAGAATAGCTACATTCTTCTATGAACAGGCACTGTACCATTTCACAAGGAAGTCTGAAGATGTTTTAAAAGTATGCATAGTTTTTTTCCATTTCTTTCCAACTTCTCAAGATAAATGTAGACATATTAAGAGAAACCTACAGTTCTACACTCCATTACTGCATATCACTGCCATTGAGGCTATTAAAAGAAACAAATGACCAACCAGGCTTACATACAGTGAATATGAACTAATGCCCAAAACTCCATTGTGGCTTTTTTTTTTGAAAAGTCAAAGGAAAAGCTGCTTGCTTTGAGCAAAGCACTTCACACACTTGAAAAAATCAACACAAAACCCCTACGTGGTTCAGGTTGATGGTGCTGCCTTCCAAAATAATAACAGCAGACACAACTCATGCCCATATTCAATGTCGCAACTCAGGACAACCCCAGTGTCATCAGGTAAGTTCAGGTCACCCATCAGCCCATGGGCTGGAAGTCCAGGCCTTTCCAATGCCAATGAAAGCCACCACACACAAACCTGATAAAACCAGAGGGGAGCTGGAGATTGCTGAGGCACTGCTCAAGATGTCATGAGGAAAAGTGGCTGACAATTCATAGCAAGTGTTTTTTTTTAGATAAGTGGTATGGTCAGCCTGTCTCTGCATTTTCCCCACCTGTGAAAAGGCAACCTATATACTTGGTGGCTGCTGACCACCTGGGTTGCAGAGCGTTGCAAAGATTCAGTAGGTTTATACTTAGAAAGTCTTCTGAAGATGAAAAGTTTAGAAAAAGCACACCAACACATCAAGAGAGACCAGGATAATGAGAGCATACTGCAAACTAATACTCACCCGTTCCTGACCAGCTGTGTCCCAGATCAGAAATTTATGAAGCTCATTCCCACATGGCACAGTTTTAGTCATGAAGGATGCTCTGAAAAGAAGGAAGGAGGAGAAATTTGTGACACGACTGACACTCTGAATATGCAACCTCTAGACCTTGGCCAGGTCTCCTGGGTTTGACTGCATACAGGGAAAACTCCAAAACCTTGAGAAAATGCCCACAGAAGTGAAAGTCTCCCTTTTATCAGATAAGGCATATGCTACCTATATATATATGTATATGTATTTTCTAAAAGAAGGGAAAAGCCTCTGAGGTTCAGAGGGCATTTGTGCATGGGTCCAGGAACACAAATGCTCCTGCCACTCACAAGTAGCTTCTGCTGCTTGCTAGCTCCATCTTCTCAGAGATACGGACCTGAGAAAAAGGCAACAGTGCCACTTTTCATTTAACATATGAGACTGGATCACCAGGGAACAGAAAATCACCTCCTGGAATGAATACAGTGAACATATGGAAAGAAGTTCTTCCCCCTTTTGACTCAGATGCAGAAGTCTTTGTGTTTTCTTTTATTTTCCATAGGAAACGAGATTCATCTATGTTTTCACAGTTTTTTCTTTTACGAAAGAGGGTTGCAAATTTATAGGTTTTTTCTATATTACAGCAGTTCAGTTGAAAGTTGGTTGGAGAGACTACCAAACTCTGGTAGATTTCTATTTTCCCCATCCTATCTGGATGATGCTGAACAATTTCTGTTGTGGTACATTTTCCTCGTTCATAAAGATGCCTTTGATACAATGCACTGTCATTACAAAGGCACCAAATGACATATGACTGATCAAAACATTTCCTGAGAATGATATACCAGAGTTCTACTCTACAACCATCTGCAAATTCCTTGAATTTCACAATGCTGCAATGCTTATGAAAATACTAAGTAAGGAAAAAAAAAAAAAAAAAAAAAAAGAGTAGTATTTCTTTGGTTGTTTTCAGGGTATATGCTTTCACTTGTCACTCTCCTTCTAAAAAGCATTAAGCAACACTTTACAGCTTCAAAAATGGGAACTTCATAGAGTCACAGTACCTAGTGTTGATTGCAAGGATTATATATCTAAAACATTTGAATAATTTGGAAGAAAATAAAAACCTTAACCATATAGACAAATAATATCACCTGTGTGGAACAAGCCTTCACATTTTAATCTTCAAATGGAAAAAAAAATCCCTTTAATCTTCATAATTATGATAACAGAGGAAAAATATTTTCCAATTTGAGCAGAAGGCATTTACTTAGCAAAAACAACTACCTGGGGAAAAAGGCTGCTGATAATTTAGGAGTAAAAAAACCACTCAAGTTGCCATCAATTTCTTCACTGCAAACAAGTGTCCTTCAGTTAGTAATTTTATTCATGACATGCTTCCCTTCTCTCTGTCCATTTTTCTCTATTCATGACATTCAGGAGTCCAAAATTGTCCTGGAAATTCAACGTGCAACTTCCAGCTGAGAAACCTTCATGCATTGAAAGGCAGAGCTTTTAGAAAGTATAGTCTAACCATCTGAACAACACACAGCAATCAATACTAATCCTTCACAGACGATTTAAAACAGCTCTGACACACAAGGCAGATCAGCCCTTTCCCCCCATATTACTCCTTTGTGAAAATCACATATAACTTCCTTTCCCATAAGAGATCCATAATTTTAAAAATTTCCAGGTAACACTGGATTTGTCAGATTTGTTCCTACGTTATTAAAAGAAAAAAAACCTCTGGAATTAAAATCAACTACAGGACTAAGAGGATTCTGACGATCTGATACAAGGAAGCTTAGCAGTTTTTAAAGAAGAGGTATTAATTAATTACACTTAGTTTAAATTGTGTTGTCTCTATTTTGAGAAAGGCAAGATAATGTGACACATCCTAAACTTAGACAAAAGCACATCCATACATGGGAACAGCACTGTCCATGTTCCAGCCCGGCCTACTAGGACACACACCGAAGGTACTTTAAGGGTTTCCCATGGTTTTCCTGCCATTACTCAGCTACGGGATGGTCTGGTCATTATGCAGATCACAGCCTCTTGGGTTGTGGGGTTTTGTTTCTTTTAAGCTTCAAGGATCAAATCTGATACCTCATTGACCAGTGGGAACCAAAGTGATTTAAGTCCTAGGGTCCTATGGCCAAAGTACAATCTAAAGTGGGAAGCTCTTGACAAGATAAAAAGATAAAGACACCAGCTGAATAAGACATCTAAGAATCTCTTGGTGTAAGACAGGTAAAGAAAAACAAAACAGAACATCTGAAAGTCATGGCAGTGAAGAACACAGGTTAATGCAGCATGGTTCTGGATGGCCCCAGAAAAGACTCAGGAGAATGGCAGAGCTCTTTCAGCTTCTCCATAATACAGCATGCTACAACATAGTAAGTTTAGGGCCCCTCTGTAATCCCAAAACAGAGAGAGGAGAGCTGACCTGGTTTGGAGCAGCTGCTGGCTCTCTTAAGCAGGTAACATGAGTTGAAAGCCAGTGAAGGAGAGTAAAGAGCTGAGTGAGATGATGGAGAAAAAAAAAGATGTATAATATTCAGAGCCTTGAAAGTAAGGAAAAGAAAGGACCACAGCAGAGGGCAGTGAGTTAAAAAAACCACATAGAATTAAAAAAGATATTATGTGTGGTACTTACCCAATAGTAGGACTAATATTATGATCAAAGTGGTCCTGGACAAATCGACAAACAATGCTCGATTTCCCAACCCCAGTATCCTGAAAATCAAGAAAACCATGACAGTGAATTCAGGAGATCCTAGATATCAATACTTCACTTGAAGAAATAGTCAAATATTAATTTTTGAGATTAAATCTTCTCTAGTAGCAAGAAGGGCACATTAAACATCTCAGAAGAAAAGCAAGGACATGGCTTATCCTTTCCAAATTTCAGCATTGTGAATGAAGCTCCCTAGTCCTCTTCCCAACACTCCCTTCTCTCCAAGCCTTGTATTTTATTGCGTGGATTTTATATTCCTGTTGCAAGGACTGCAATCCTTCAAGCACAGTCATTCACTTGTACAAGAAAACCCTGTGCTTTTCAATACATAGCATATTCCTCAGCAAAGCCAGAGAAACAATTTCATTCAGCCCTGTTGCAAGGGCAGCCCAACTATGCTTCCAGAACAGATTAGTAACACCAACCTTTTAGCACACTGACAGCACTAACCTAGTGGAAATAACCTTTTCATGGCAAGACAAACAAGCCCATTTGGTGGAAACTTTGCAGAGGCTTCAGGTGGTTTTGAAAAGGCAGGAATCCAAAGATTTGGGTCCCCAGAGATGTGCAGCTATTCCTGTGCATGCTGTGTTATAGGACTGCAGTGAAACAGCATTACTTCAAATGCAACACAACTTGCTCTTTCTACTGCAACATGGAAGGCTGCTTTCATTTGCAGAAATAGTCTTTAACATACACCCAATCAGTAAGGAAAAATAACAGCAGTACAATACTGGAATAGAATTCAGAATAACCTGAGGGGGCAGGGGAAAATTTTAAATTACGCAGCAATACTATTTTAGGCATTTAAAATATGAACAACTTCCCTAAAATGCACATTTTTTGGTCTGTCGCTGCTATTCCCCAAAGCCTTGGATGGTAGGTAGAAGAACTTGAATTATACAGGGAAGTATCAAGGAAGAGGAATAGCAACATCGCTATGTCTTCCATAGAATTGCAAAGAGCCTCCTTAGAAACAAAAAAGATGCCAGGAAATCGATCTTGACCTTTCCAAGACATTAACAATGACAGCCCAGGGTCCAATCTAAGTCATTAAACAGTCAAGGGAAAGTTTTCTATTAATTTCACTGAAGCGATGGCAGAACTACTGGATTGCACCTGGTAATTTCATTTGCATCCACATTTTAAGACATGACTAATTCACACAAACTTCTCAAAAAGTGCCAAGACAAGACAATACAGTTTCTTGAGAGCACTTCACACATAACTGTATATTAAAAAAAAGAAAAGCAGCTTTTGCCCACACATAACTACATATTTAAAAAGTGCCTTTGCCTTTCCTGTAATCAATTTTGCATTGTTACCTTCTTTTCGAGTACGAAAGAAAAAGAATGCCTGCATTTAGATTTCCTTTCACCATGCTTAAATGCAACTGTATTGTCACGCCAAGCAAAGTCCTTATTAGAAAACCATCATTTAAACTTTCATATTTAATTCAAATCTGTCCTTAGTCAGCTTAAAAGCCATAATAAATACTCATGCTACACAGACGGTTGTTTATCTACTCTGTTCAATCAATAGGAAAAAAAGATCAAAGAGAGAAGCAGTGTTTAAAAACAGCCCTGTAGTCTTTGATCAATAGCAGTAACACATCCTGCTACTATTACCAAATTTTGCCTTCATTATCAATTCCAGCTGACATCTCTATATAATTACTACACCAGGATGGCAGAACACGTTAAAAAAAATTTTAAAAATCCTCTGCACTGAAACTGAGGATCTAATTATTATTCCAGATTTTAAATGGTGTGGAGCAACCAGAATTATCACCCACTGGTTGCAAGGAATTACATTACCCTCTTGTGGGGACAGTTTCTGCCACTGTGTTTGAAACCAGGCATTGACTCCTGTGACCTCATGATGCTTTAGTTTCATCTGATTCCTTCAGCTCCCTTGACAGGTCACTCAGAATGGCAACTTCAATTACAAGAGGAGCCTGGTCTCCGGCAGGGACGTGACATCCACAAGCATGGATTAAAGCTTAGCTCATTTCCCTGGAACATCTTACCTCTTCATCTTTCAGTTTGTGGCTCTCACTAATGATTCGTGCTAATGTTAAAGGAACTCTCAAAGTTTCTACTGCTCTCGCATCGCTCACAATGAGCACGGCTAAGCTTAAGCACGTGCCAGGCACACCAACAGCCCTCCAGAAGCTTAAAGGCATTCTTACACTTTGCTCCTGGGGTTGCTTGGATTATTAAGAGGGCTAAATTTACCCCTGGTGTAACTCAAGTGAAACCAATGGACTTGGACCACAAGTGAACCCATCTCTAGGATGATCACTGCTGCAGCCAGTGGCTGGTGCTTTCCAGGAGCCAGGCAATTTATTGCACCAAGGGGGTTCGGTTGAAACAAGCGCTGCCACCTTCTGTTTTGTTGCCTGGAGGATACAAAGGGGCTGCTACCAGGGTATAATTAGAGCACAAAGGGGAAGGAAGTAAAATAGAAAAAGCTTCCTACTTAAGGCAGTGATTATCATTCCATCATGGGATTTAAAACTACTGAGACATTTTTCAGTCCACGCTTCCATACTAACACCCATCAAACAAGACACCTGCCTGAAAGCAAAGCAAATCATGCTGTATGAACATTATACAGCAACTTCAAAAATACAAATGAGACCTTACCTTTTACTAACAATACGGAACTACCTTTCAAGTCAATCTCACAGAAGACAAGGAAAGCAGGGTTGTTGCTTCAAAGAAGTAGACAAGGCATTCACTTCTCAGCAGTGCATCAAAATTTAACCTCCTTGCTAAGGCTGAATAAACCTTTCCTGCAACCAGCTACTTTGTACTTTACTATATGGTCTTTCTCTACATAAATCCATTTTTATAACATTTGATGGAGATGATCTTCCTTGTTTTGTCTCTTTTTCTTCAAAAGATTATAACAGACTTATCAAGGCACATGCCTGGGTAACATTCAGGCATACATGAGTTATTTTTCCAGGTCTCAAAAGTTCTGCTATTTGCCAGCTTTTTATTCCCTCTAATCTGTGTTTCTGTTTTGTTTTACTCCATGTTGGTATAGATATAACATCAAACATACACAAGGAATAACATTCTGGCTGATGTAAAAGGTCACAGCGGTATTAAGATGACTGGATTGGACAAGTTTCAGAAACTGAGAACATGTCTTCAGGAGTTATGTTGCACTTCAAGGAACAGATCCTGCAATTCTACATAAAAATCCTCATCCAGAGGAAATCCAGGAGCTTCAGCACCGTATTAATTGACTCATCACGATCAAGAGCATACCAATCCATGAAAGAAGTGGCAAGAAAGAAATAAATATAAAATAATTATTCTGAATCAAGGTGTTTACCAGTCGCTCATGGGACCAACTGCATGTTTTGTTTTTTTCCTTTCTTCTTGCTAAGTCTGGTAGCACACTTACAAAATATCAGTTATAAACCACATTGTAGTGAGATAAGCAAAATGGGTGGGGTGGGGAGGAAGGAAAGGAACAGAAATGTAATTACAGTAAATGAACCAGTATTAGCTCACCAGAATAAGTAGCTACAACTTCGGAATCTCCCACTGGTCAGCAAAATGGATTTGAAAATCTGAAACTGTATCAGATGTTTCTGATAAATAAAAGGAACTAAGGCAAGCATGACTAATTCCAGATTTTTATTCTTTAAGCCTAGAAAAGACATTCTCTATTCTTTTAAAAACCCTTACTCGCAGATTTAGGCGTGAGGATTTTAAGAGCACCAGAATGGAGAGCAGCATGCCACAGAAAACAGTGCTTCCACCCACACTCCTGCTCCCAGAGAACCACCCCACTTGGCTCTTCTCAGCTTACATTACTGTAAAGGAGATGAGACTGTATTTCAAGCCAGCAGCATTACAGACTGCTGGCAACTCATTTGCAAACAAGAGGCAAACAACAACCAAGTTTCTGATTTCTTCTGATTGATTTGCAGCATCTTAGAAGAAGATCAAAAAAAAACAGGCAGAAGTTTGATATGAGAAATATATTAAAAAAGAAAACCATTTTCCCATTACAAGTAGGCATTTGGTATATTCCTCTGCCCATCATTCCAAATGCATTTATCCTGGAAGAAAAACCTAATGCACAAAAATTTAGCTCTAATTTAAATCTGGATGTCTCATTGATATCTTTGCATATAGGGCCTAGTCCTCCAAACACTTTTCCAAACTGAAGGGAGGTAGATTACCCTGCAAACACATCTCTGATTGGGCTCTTATAGCTTGATTGGGCTCTTTAGCCTTGATATTATAATAGCTTTTAATAGATTCAGGGTCAAGCCCTATTGTGCTGTGTAAACTGACGTCTTCATGTAATTTTTTTTTTTTACATCTGAAATGGAATAAAGGTTGAATTCACAAAAAAAATCCACACATGTTGTGACTGATGACTAAACAGCAGCCCTATAATTATGCACACTGCTGCAAGAGCTTTTTTAGTGTTAACTATGCAGAGTCTTTCTGTGCTATGTTAACACACAGGGCTTTTTAAATACGTGTAAAATTATATAAACCATGCAAAAATCCTTTTATGATTCTAGGATTTTGAAAATACAAATAAACCAAAAACCCTAGACAGCACTTCACATGAGGAAATGGCACACTAAGAATGAACATACTGAAGAAAGTGCCTTCAGTCCTTCCACTTGCAAAGTAAGGGGGGGGGGGGGAAAGAACATCTGGCTTGTAACCACCAGAGATCTCATGACTAACTTCCCATTTCAGCTTTAAAGGAAGGTTGAGATACCCTGGAAATGAGTATTTGTAGCATCACAAAAATCTGCATTAAGAGGTAATGGAGAACAGATCTCTGTAAAATAGGGATTCAACACACAGTTCCTCCAGAAGGTTAGAAGTTTTCCCACCAGCTTAGACAAAGCCAGGATTCAATCAATGGTATTTCGATTTGTATAAATTTTTACAAATTAAAAATGTGTGTCTCTTCAAAACATTTCTCGTAATAACTAAGAGTCACTGAGACG